CTCGTTATCATCACAATCAAAACAATCATTGTCCAATAAAAACAACGCCGGGAAAACAATGGCAGCAATTACCGCAACAGCCGAAGCTCATTAGAACAAAGCGCCTCTTAATTACGGGGATTGTTTGCGCTTCCCACCCGTTTTTAGGGGGTTTAGCCGGGAATTTTTAGGAATTGGGGAATTTTCCCGTCTGGAATTCCGTCAGCTCCTTGCTCTGGTTGGGAAAAAAAAATTTTTTTTTTTTTCTTTGTTTGAAATTCCATTTTTTCCCGTCTGAAATTCCGTCAGCTCCTTGCTCTTGGGAAATTTTTTTTTTTTTTTCTTTGTTTGAAATTCCATAAAAGCAGCAGGGAATTCCTCCGGTTCCTTCGGAGGAGCCGCCTCGGCTCTTCCCATCCCACACCCGATTCCCGCCGGGATCCAGCCCTTTATGGAGCCAAATCCCACCAGGAAAAAAAAAGCAGGAAAACCCTCCCCAAAAATCCCATTCCCTAGGGAATTTCTTCCCCATTTTTCCTCAGCGCAGGAAGAGCCGCGCACCCCAAAAAGGTGGAGGAGCATTCGGGGATAAAAAGCAGGATTTTGGGAGTTCCAGGACTTACCCAGGTCATGAGGGGGAAGAGCTGGAGAGAAGAGCCCGGGAAAGGCCCCGGCTGGCCGGGTTTTTATGGAGCCCGGGAATGCCCCAGGGAATTTTGAGGAGGTTGGGTTTGGCTTTAATTGCACCCCAAACCCGGCCACGTGCGGCTCTGGCTCCCAGGGATGTCCTGGATCACTGGGATCCAAGATTGGGCCAGCAAAAAAACACCTGGAAAATCAGAGATCCTCGGGGGTGCCAGATTTTCCCGAAATTCCAGCCAAAACAGCCCTTTCCACCCCCCCAAAAAAACCCCAAAAAAACCTAAACAAACCACGGAAAACCAAGGATCCTCAGGGATGCCAAATCTTCCCAAAATTCCAGCCAACACAGCCCTTTCCATTCCCCCCCCCCCAAAAAAAAAAACCAACCAACCAACCAACAAAATGGAAAATCGAGGATTTTCTGAGATGTCAAATTTTCCTGAAATTCCAGCCAAAACAGCCCTTTCCACCACCGCCCCCCCCAAAAAAAATTCCCAGTGGAGCCCAGCCAAGGGAAAAGAAGGAATTCCTCATTCCCAGGGGAGCTTCGGGCAGGAATCCCTTTGAAAATCCACCCAGGAAGGACTCGGAGCATCCCATAATTAGTGGGACACGCGGATTCCTTCCCGGGAATCCAGGGGAGACAGGAGGGATCATCAGGACAGCTCCCAAAAATTCCCTGTCACAAAGGGGTCGGTGCTGCCCCGGCACCACAAAGGGGGGAAGGGAGAGAGCTCATCCCAAAAAAAAACCCCAAATTCCCATTTCCTGCTCCGTGCTGCCCTTTGTTCCCACAAAAAAAACCCCAGGGAAAATGAGCAGGACTGGGAATGCCGACTTTGGGAGTCACTTCTGCATGAGGGAAGGGCCTGGAATTCCGAGTTTTGGGATTTTTTGTTGTTGTTGTTTTTATATATTTATTTGTTTATTTATTTTGGGCCTTTTTTATTTTATTATTTTAAAATTTTTTTGGTCCTTTTTATATGAATCTGACACTTTTGAATTTCAGGGATTCAGGTGAGGTGCCTGAAAAAGAGGGGAATTTTCATGGAATGTCCTACTTGGAAGGGATCGAATCCAACTCCAGGCCCTGCGCAGAATTCCCAAAATTCCCAAAACTGGGAAAATGCTCCTGGAGCCTTAGGAATGTGACCATCGGTCAGTGCCTGGCCATGAGAATTCCAAGACCGGAACATCAGAATATTTGGAGTATTGGAATATTGAAATATTGGAATACTTGGAGTATCTTAATATTTAAATATTGGGATATTTGGATATTGGAATATTGGATTATTTGAATATTGAAATAATTGAATGTTGGAGTGCTGGACTATGGGAATATTGGAATATTTAAACATTTGAATATTGGAGTATTTGAATATTGGAGTATTTGAATATTGGAGTATTTGAATATTAGATTATTTGAATACTGGAGTATTTGAACATTGGAATTTTCGAATATTTGGAATATCAAGCTCCAAACTATGACCCATGACCTAAATTTCCCGTTTTATTTCCTGCTTTCCCAGGAGGCCGGAGGCAGCCCCGTGATTTCCATTTAATTTCCCGGCTCCACAGGAAATCCCAGGGACAGGGCGCCGGCTTTCCAGGCGGATCCCAACATTCCGAGGGATCAAGGGAGGAACCCGAAGGCAAATCCCGGCTCCAGCCCGGATTCCTCTCACTTTTATGGATTCTCCCTGCCCTGAACAACAAAAACAACAACAACAATGAACTTTTTAACGCTGAGCTCCCTGACCCGAAATCCTGGGAATAAACAGGCGTCGGAGCGTGGGTTAGGCCGGGTTTTATGGGAATTCCTTGGGAAGCTCGGGATCAAGGAGAGCTCCTAATTCCTGGTTGTGTGTGCCCAGTGCAGGGAGCGGGAGCATTAACGTGTGACCTGGCATTAAAAATGTTCTTAATTAGCATCCCAATGTCCTTAATTAACATTTGCGAGGCCCTTTCATCTCCCGGTGGCTCCTGGGAAATTTTGGGGGGGGGGAGAGTCATTATTCCCAATTAAAAGCTGGGGAAACTGAGGCACGGCTGAGTCAGGGCCAACCCCGTCCAAAACATCCCCAAATCCTGCTGACACCAAAATCCGGGATCCACCCGCAAAGGAGGATTTTCTGGAAGGTTCCGTGGGAAAAGCCACAGGGCCACCCGAGATGGGACAACTTCTCCAAAGGTCGTGGAGGGGCTGGGAATGTTGGGAATGTTGGGAATGTGGAGACCCCCGAGCCCCTCCAGGATCTGCAGGGGCTCCAGGGAAGCTGGAGAGGGATTTTTCCTCCGGAATTGCAGGGACAGGACACAGGGAATGGGCTCAGGACGGGAATTTGGGTGGGATTTTGGGAAGGAATTGCTCCCTGTGAGGATCCCAGGTGATTCCATGGATTTCCCACTCCTGGAAGTGCCCAAGGCCAGGCTGACCCCACCTGGGACAGGAGAAAGGTCCCTGCCCATGGAAATGGGGTGGGATTTTTTGGGATTTAAGGTTCCTTTCCATCCCAAACCATTCCAAAATTCCCTGGGCTGGTTTGGATGGGATTTTAGGCATAAATCCTTCCCTGGCCCGGGTTATTCCATGGATTCCCCATCCCTGGGAATGTCCAGGGCTGGGTTGGAGCCACCTGGGATAGGGGAATGTCCCTGCCCTTGGAACGGGATGATTTTAATGTCCCTCCAACCCAAAGCATTCCAGGATTTTATCCCAATTTTAGTGGATCCAACAGGTCCCTGAAGCCCACACCATTCCAGGATTTTATCCCGATTTTAAGCGGATCCAACAGGTCCCTGAAGCCCACACCATTCCAGGATTTTATCCCGATTTTAAGCGGATCCAACAGGTCCCTGAAGCCCACACCATTCCAGGATTTTATCCCGATTTTAAGCGGATCCAACAGGTCCCTGAAGCCCACACCATTCCAGGATTTTATCCCGATTTTAAGCGGATCCAACAGGTCCCTGAAGCCCACACCATTCCAGGATTTTATCCCGATTTTAAGCGGATCCAACAGGTCCCTGAAGCCCACACCATTCCAGGATTTTATCCCGATTTTAAGCGGATCCAACAGGTCCCTGAAGCCCACACCATTCCAGGATTTTATCCCGATTTTAAGCGGATCCAACAGGTCCCTGAAGCCCACACCATTCCAGGATTTTATCCCGATTTTAAGCGGATCCAACAGGTCCCTGAAGCCCACACCATTCCAGGATTTTATCCCGATTTTAAGCGGATCCAACAGGTCCCTGAAGCCCACACCATTCCAGGATTTTATCCCGATTTTAAGCGGATCCAACAGGTCCCTGAAGCCCACACCATTCCAGGATTTTATCCCGATTTTAAGCGGATCCAACAGGTCCCTGAAGCCCACACCATTCCAGGATTTTATCCCGATTTTAAGCGGATCCAACAGGTCCCTGAAGCCCACACCATTCCAGGATTTCCCCCCTCAGTTTTCGGGGGATCCGGAGGGTTGGGTGGTGGGACCACGCCTGGCTCTGGGGGCGGCAGATTTTCCACATTCCCTGCTGGAAACAAACCCCAAATTCCCAGGAAAAGGAGGCACCGGGATCTCCCAGCACTTCCAGGAGCTCTTGGACAACTCCAGGTGGCACCAGGAGGTCACCGAGGGCAGGGAGGGGCAGGACAAGATGCGGGACAGCGTCCCCAACCCGGCCACACCCTCCTGTCCCCTCTGGTCACCTCGTGAGCTCCTGCTCATTTTCCTAATGATGGGACTCATCCACGGTTTTTTCCAGCTTGGATTTTGCTGGACTTAATAAATAAATATTTAATAAATATTTAATGTTAAACAAATATTTAATATTAAATAAATGTTTCCATTAAATAATTTTTCTATTGAATAAATATTTCTGTTAAAGAAATATTTCACATTAAATAAAGATGTAATGTTAAATAAATATAATAGTATTAAATATTTATAATGTGAATTAAAAATAATCATAATGATATTAAATAAATATTTCTTTAATTAAATAAAAAAACCACCAAGAGGCAGAAACTCAAGATTTTAATCCGAGGTCAGACAAGAATGTTTATTTAAGTTTATATATATATGTAAAATAATAGTATATTTCTGTAAATAAATTTGTTTTCAGTGCACATCTTCAACATAAAGTATTTAATTAATTACCTTTCTATTGAAACGTTTATAAAATAACCCTGCTATAACTTTCATTAGTTCAAAGAGTTTTCATTTCAAGTTGTGGTTTTTAATCTTAATCAAAGAATAAAAACTTTGCAAGGGCCATTTTGGGGAATTGCTGTTTGGGGATTCTGCAGCAGTCAGGGGTTAAAAAACCAGGGAATTCTGGCCACATTCCCAGGGATTGTCCTCGTCACACGGTGGTCACCAGGGCCACTTGGGGGCAGAGCAGTATTTCTTGGAGTGGCTGGAGATCTTCACTCCACCAGACTGCTGGGGGACACCAATTGTCCCACACTGCTGGGGGACACTCTTGGTCACACACTGCTGGGGGACACACTTGGTGGCACTTTGTTGGGGGACACATGTGGTCACACACTGCTGGGGGACACCGATTGTCCCGTATTGCTGGGGGATGCACTTGGTGGCACTTTGCTGGGGGACACATTTAGTGGCACTCTGTTGAGTGACACTCTTGGTCACACATTGCTGGGGGACACACTTGGTGGCACTTTGCTGGGGGACACATTTGGTCACACACTGCTGGGGGATGCACTTGGTGGCACTTTGCTGGGGGACACACTTGGTGGCACTTTGCTGAGGGACACAAATTGTCCCACACTGCTGAGGGACACCAATTGTGCCACACTGCTGAGGGACACACTTGACACTTTGCTGGGGGACACACTTGGTGGCACTTTGCTGAGGGACACAAACTGTCCTGTACTTCTGGGTGACACCTTTGGTGGCACTTTGCTGGGGGACACACTTGGTCACGCTCTGCTGGGGGACACACTTGGTGGCACTCTGTTGAGTGACACTCTTGGTCACACACTGCTGGGGGACACAGATTGTCCCATACTGTTGGGGGACACACTTGGTGGCACTTTGCTGGGGGACACAAATTGTCCCACACTGCTGGGGGACACACTTGGTGGCACTTTGTTGGGGGACACATTTGGTCACACACTGCTGGGGGACACCGATTGTCCCGTATTGCTGGGGGACACACTTGGTGGCACTTTGCTGAGGGACACAAATTGTGCCACACTGCTGAGGGACACAAATTGTGCCACACTGCTGAGGGACACACTTGACACTTTGCTGGGGGACACACTTGGTGGCACTTTGCTGAGGGACACAAACTGTCCTGTACTTCTGGGTGACACCTTTGGTGGCACTTTGCTGGGGGACGCACTTGGTCATACCTTGCTGGGGGACACACTTGGTCACACTCTGCTGGGGGACACACTTGGTGGCACTCTGTTGAGTGACACTCTTGGTCACACACTGCTGGGGGACACAGATTGTCCCATACTGTTGGGGGACACACTTGGTGGCACTTTGCTGGGGGACACAAATTGTCCCACACTGCTGGGGGACACATTTGGTGGCACTTTGCTGGGGGACACCCTTGGTCACACACTGGTGGGGGACACCCTTGGTGGCACTTTGCTGGGGGACACCTTTGGTAACACTTTGCTGAGGGACGCAAACCATCCCGCTCTGCTGCTGCTGTGGGACACAAATGCTGGCCCCACCGGTGTCACACTGCTGAGGGACACACTTGGTGACACACCTGCTGTGCCACTGCTGGGGGACACTGGCGGTGACACTCTGCCACTGCTGGGGGACAGGCGCTGTCACCCACTGGTACGAGACGCCCCGGGCCGCGCGCTGCTGGGGGACACAGGTGGTGACACACCTGGGGACACCCTGCTGGGGACAGACGCTGGTCACGCACTGCTGGGGGACGCACCTGGTGGCACTCTGCTGCTGCGGGACACCCTTGGTGACGAACGGCGGCCGCGGCACACAGGTGGTGACACACCTGGGGACAATCTTCTGCTGCTGGGGGACGCACTCAGGCGGTGGCACCTGCAGCTGCTGCGGCACGCAGTGGGTGACGGCGGTGGCACCCGCGCCGCCCGTCACGCGCTGCTGTGGCACGCAGGTGGTGACACACCTGGGGACAACCTTCTGCTGCTGGGGGACGCGCGGGCAGTACTGTGGCACCCGCAGCTGCTGTGGCACGCACTGCGTCACCCCCACCTGGTGTGGCACGCACTGGGTGACGCGCTGCTGCGGTGGCACGCACGTTGTCACCCGCCTGGGGACAATCTGCTGGTGCAGGAGGTGCTGGGGCACGCAGGGGGGTCCGTGGAGCTGGCGGGGTGGCACGGCCTGGGTGACACTCTGCTGCTGGCACACGCTGGAGGACATCGCCCGCTGCAGGGGCACCTGGCCGGGCATGGCTTGGGGGATGCAGGTGGTGGAGTGCCACCGCTGAGCCGGGAAGGGGACACCAGGGGACAGCGCCACGGGGTCCTGGTAGAGCAGAGGGAGGTGCTGGTGCAGGTGGCAGGACATCTTGGGGACACGTGGCAAGACTGGAAGGACACGGATGGGGTTGGAATCAGGTGAGGTTTGAGGTCCCTCCCAACCCAACCTTTTCGGTGGCACCTGAGGGAGCCTCTGGTCCCCAAACCTTGGGGACATGTCCCCGCTGTGTCACCGCCCCAGCTGTTGGAGGTCTCAGGGACATCTTGGGGACACTTGAAGGACATGGTGGGGTTGGAATGAGGTGAATTTTAGGGTCCCTCCCCACCTGTTTAGTGACACCCAAGGACACCTGGACAGGTGAGTTCCCTGCAGTCCCCACACCTGGGGGACACGTCCCAGCTGTGCCACCGTCCCAACACGGCCCCAGCAGTACCTGAGGGATCCAACCCCTCGTTTTTAACTCTGAACCACATCCTGAAGCCAAGCTGGGGACATTTGGGGACACTCAGCACTGAATGTCATACCCCAATTAATTAATTTAATTAATTAATTAATTAATTAATACTTCCATTGCTCCTAAACACTCCTTTTTCAGGAAGAAATTGGGGATTCAGAAGCTCAGCAGTGAACCCCAACAGTCCTCTCCCACTCCAGCACAAAAATTCCAACCAATCCATTTTAAAATCCTCTCCCAAACTGCATTTTTCATATGGGAAAATCAGGAATAAATATGAATTTTGTAATCCCAGCATCCCAAAGTGCTTTAGGTCGGAAGGGACATCAAAGGTCAACTCAACCCCTGCCATGGGACACCTTCCATATCCCAGCCTGACCTGGGACATTTCCAAGGATGGGAAATCCATGGAACATGCGGTGCCAGGCTCTCCTCACTCTCACAAGGAACAATTCCTTCCCAAACCCAGCCTAAATTTCTTCACTTTCACTTTTACCTCATTCCCCCTTTTCCTATCTCTCCAGCTCTTGATGGAAAGTCCTTCCCATCACATTTTCTTGCAGGGGATGTTCTCCCTGGAATCCACCAAACCCACCCCAAAACGAGATGGTATTTCTCCTAAGACCACCCCAGATCTCTCCCTAGAATCTGCCAATCCCACCCCAAAACGAGATAGTATTTTTCCTAAGACCACCCCAGATCTCTCTCTGGAATCCGCCAATCCCACCCCAAAACGAGATGGTATTTTTCCTAAGACCACCCCAGATCTCTCCCTAGAATCCACCAATCCCACCCCAAAACGTGCTGCGATTTCCCAAACCCACCCCAGGTCTCACCAAACCCCAATCCCAAACCCTGTCCAACCTGGCCATGGACACCTCTTGGGATGGGGAATCCTCTCCAAGCCACCCCACCAGCCCATCCCCACTCTAGGAATCACGAATTCCCCCCGAATTCCCCATCCCAGCATCTCCAGAGGCTCAGGAACCGGACTCACCCAGCTCCCGGGTGCGGGAAGAGCTTCCAGAGGCGACCAGCGCGTCCCAGCTCCGCCGGAGCTTTTATAGGGCCGCCGGAGGAGCCGCCAGGTCCCGTAAGCCCCGTGGCCTTCCCGGAGTGAGTCGGAGCCGCCGACTCATCCTGGACAATGAGTGGTTCCATGTCAGCTTCCCAGAGTAATTACCTCGGGATAATTAATCCTCCGTGGCACTCGGAGCAGCAGCCCCAGCCCCGGGGCTGTTTGTGGGGACTGAAGCCCTGGATGTGTAGGAATGGGTTTTCCAGGGGGTTTTTCCATCACTGGGGGGCTCACAGGTGTGGGGTGGTCCCGGTTGTTGTTGGATTTGGGACAGGTTTTCCATGGGCTTCTCCAGCTCCGGGGTTTCACCTCATCATCCCCGCAATGCCCAGATTTTGGGGGTGTTTGGCCAAGGTTTGGGTGTGGATTTCAATCCACTGAGAGAAAACAGGAAAACAAATTCCCCCTTGTGGTGGGTGCGGCATCCATCAAAATCTTAATTTTTTAATTAAAAACTCCATTTCTCTCCCCACCCTGTGGTCCCACCTCAGTGTTGGTGTCATTGGGGCTGAGCACGGCTTTGTCCTGGTCCCTCTCAGCTCTCCTCGGGATCATCAGAGAGAAATTGTCCCTCAGCACCGAGCAGGAAGGGCCTGGATTCATTCCTGGATTCGTTCCTGGTGGAACGAATTCCATAATTAAAGGAGGGTTTCACCCTCTCTGCTTCTTCCCCAGTGTGGGGCACAATTACCCAAGAGCTCCCAAACCTTCTGATTCATTTTCGTGTCCGAAATATTCGGGGCCCTTTCTCCTGGCCACAAAAACCACCTGGGCGGGGCCGTTTGTCTGAGTTCACAAGAAACCACGATTTTTAATAAGAAAAATTAAAATACTCAGGCCCTGACCCCTCCCTGTGGGTTTGAGCTCTGTGTTGGTGTCACCGGGGCTGGGCTTTATTTTATCCTGATCCCTCTCAGCTCTGCTGGAGCCAGCAGGGCCAAATTGGCCTTTTTGGGGTAATTTTGTGTCACTATGAACCCACAAAAGCACTGAGCAGATTTTAATTACTTAAAAAACCCATCTTCTGTTTTTTGGGGTTATTTTGTGTCACTCTGAACCCCTAAAAGCACTGAGCAGATTTTTACTCACTTTAAAAAATCCATCTTCTGGTTTTTTGGGTTTTTTTTTGTGTCGCAATGAACACATGAAGGTGCTGAGCAGGTCTTTAGTGACTTAAAAAATCCATCTCCCTTTTTTTGGTTTTTTTTGGGTGTTTTTTTGTGTCACAGTAAACCCATAAAAGTGCTGAGCAGATCTTTAGTGACCTAAAAAAAGGAATTCCTGGTTTTAGGAGTTTTTTAATCTCTGGGAGACAAGGAGGTGAATGCCTGGGGAAGTCACACGGGGCTGGAGGAAGTTTATCAGCTCCTGGAGCTTTTTGTCACCTCTGGCTCCAGGTGTCCCCATGCGGGTCTCAGGACTGTCACCTGTCCCCAGAGCAGCGGGAATGTGGCCCTGGTGACTCTCAGGTGACCGGGACAGGTGAGGCACAGCCCTTGCACAACCAGCTGGGCTGCCACTCAAAAATAAACTTCCTCCAAAAATCACGTGAGACTTTCTCACTGATTCAACTCCTTATCTCACACAGACTGAAAGAAATAAAAAAAAAAAAAAAAACAAAAAAAAAAAAAAAAAAAAAAAAAAAAAACCCCAAAAAAAAAAAAAAAAAAAACCCCAGGAGATTAATTTTTTTAAGTCATTAGAAACTGCTCAGTGCTTTTATGGACTCATAGCGACACAAAATAACCCCAAAAAGCCAATTTGGCCCTGCTGGCTCCAGCAGAGCTGAGAGGGATCAGGATAAAATAAAGCCCAGCCCCGGTGACACCAACACAGAGCTCAAACCCACAGGGAGGGGTCAGGGCCTGAGTATTTTAATTTTTCTTATTAAAAATCGTGGTTTCTTGTGAACTCAGACAAACGGCCCCGCCCAGGTGGTTTTTGTGGCCAGGAGAAAGGGCCCTGAATATTTCGGACATGAAAATGAATCAGGAAATTTAGGAGATCTTGGGTAATTGTGCCCCACACAGGGGAAGGAGCAGAGAGGGTGAAACCCTCCCTTTTTCTGGGAATTCTCCATCAGGAACAAATCCAGGTTTTCCTGGTCAGCTCTGAGTGTCCGGCTCCACCTGGACCACGAGAACGTGGCTTTGTTGTGGTTTCTCTCCTGCAGGAATCCTTTCTTTGATCTGAAGCCACAGTTCCTCTGTGGCTTTCAGCTCCCATTTTTGGAGGCTGGAACCTCCCTTTGACCAAAACGATCAGTTCACATCCATACAAATATAAACCATAAACACATCCAATTTATATAAATTTATATTGATTCTTCCAGGTCTGGACAGAGGCAGGTGGGACACCAGCAGGAATTTCCACCTGGAAAAAGTGGTCGGGCATTGGAAGGCGCTTCCCAGGTGGGAATTCCTGCAGCTGATTTTCCATCTCCTGAGGTTTCAACCCAACGCCTCGGACCGCACATTGAAAATTCGCTTTTTTTCCTCCCCTTTTCTCTCCTTTTGTTCTGCTGCCAGAGTTTCTATTTTCGGAGCAGGGAGGGAGCTCTGCATTCCTGGTGCCTCACCCTCCAAATCCGCGTTCCTGGCTTATTAAAGGTGGGGTGGAGAATCCCCGAGGTCCCACCGGGCTCCTCCTCCCGCGGTTTTTGGGACCTCCCTCCTCCAACCCCTCCCTGCTTTAACTCCTTTCCTCCACCTTCACCTGGCAGCGGCTTCCCGGTGGGATAAAAAGGGCAGAATTCCCAAATCCCTGAAAAGAAATCCAAGGTCATTGAGTCCAAGCTCGATCCATACCTGGACACCCAGAGAAACATCCAGGAATTCCTCAGACACCTCCAGGGGTGGCCACTCCAAACCTCCCTGAGCCCCTTCCAAAGCCTTTTCCATTTTCCAGGAGGAATTTCCCCAAATTTCCCACCCTGAGCCTCCCCTGGCACAGCTCGAGGCCGTTCTCTCTTGTCCTGCTCCATTCCCTGGGATCAGATCCCAAATCCCCCCTGGATCCCCCTTTTCTCCAGGATGAGCCCCCCCAGGGTTTTCCAGACCCTTCTCCAGCTGCTCCAGCCCTTCCATGTCCCTTTTCCATGAGGGGACCGAGTGTCACCCGAGTGTCACCCGAGTGTCCCCAACCACCAGAGCGCAGCATTGGCCCGCGCAGGCGGCTCCTGGAAGATCCCTTGGGATCCTCCCTTTTTCTCTCTCTGCGTCTCCAGGAAAAGTTTTAATTTCGGGTTTGGCTCAGCCCAACCCCTTTTTGCCGTTGGATCTGGGAAGGAGCATCGCGGACTGGGATTGTCCTGTCGGGAATCTGCCCCACGGAGAAGGACCTGGGGGTCCCGGTGGGAAAAAACCTGTCCTGGAGCTGTCCCAGCCTGGGGCGTCCTGGGGACAGCAGGGACAGTGATCCCAGGGATCAGGGAGGGATCCCAGGGATCAGGGAAGGATCCCCACTCCTCTCACAGCCTCCTGTTCCCATTGCTGGGAATGTTGGGAATGTTGAGCCTGTGGAGACCCCAGAGCCCCTCCAGGATCTGCAGGGGCT